GAAAAACTGAACCAAAGGAGGAAGGAAAACAGCTGGGCAAACTCTAAACCACCAAAAGCAAGTAGGCCTCAGCTCAGATAGGGAATTCCCTCACTTATTTCCTCAAACTGGCCTAAGTAGTGAGAATGCTGATGGATTTCCTGAAATCACACCATTGAGAACACAAGGAATCCACAGTCATCACCACTTCCATCTCTGTAGCAGGACCAAGCCCTTTCCCTGTGGAGGAGATAACTATGCTGTCTCCCATAACTTTCATATGACTCTGCTTCACCTGGCTGTGAAGACGAATAAAGAAGATCCCAACTTGGCCCACAGCTTTTTGGGGTTATTTGTTTACACTGAGTGAAGATGTGTCTATGTTTTGCCTCACTTGCCTAAGGCACCTGATTGGTTTAATAATGATCTACATGGCCAATATCTACGCAGGATAGAATAGGCGGGACTTCCTGGCACAGAGAGGAACTCAAAGATAGTATCTGGTAGGGTAAGAGAATCCATTGAGACATGGAGGGAGTTAGACATAAAGAGGAGAGGAAAAGAGTCGTGTGGCAGAAAGTAGACTGGTATCAACAGGTTAATTTAAGTTGTAAGAGCTAGTTGGGAACAAGCCTAAGCTAAAGGAAAAACTTTCATAGTTAATAATATGTCTGTGTCATAATTCAGGGACTGGTGAACCAAAGAAAGGCTCACAAGAAATACCTGATACACACAGAGATGGTTTCAACTATTACACTGGGTTTGGACCACGAAATGTGCAGGGTTTTAAAGTTATGTTTCTTATATCAAATGATGACCAGCATATTGATTTTCTATTCATTTCCTTATGATAGAGAAGGACTTAAATAAGTAACTTTAAAGAAAAAAAAACTAGGTGGCTTGCATTGTAGCACATGTCTTTAACTTTAACATTCAGGAGGCAGAAGATTTCAAAGATACCTAGTCTACACAGCAATTTTCAGATCAGCCAGGATTGCACAGTGAAATCATGTCCCAGACAAAAACTAAACCACTGTTCTGCAACGATATACAATTTATAATACTATCAAGAAAGTCTAGTAACGGAGACTAAGTGAAGTTGTGTCACTATAAATACTAAGAGATTCATTTTGTGAGAATTTTAAGTGAAAAAGACAATAGAAAATGGTAAATGCACACAAAACAATTTAATTTTTAAAAGACTGTTGATTTATAGTTACACCTTATTTTAAGCAGTAAAACAAAATCACTTTGTTATTCTTTATATTGCTCCATTCAATATAAAATAAAATGAGTTCCCCATTTTAAAGGGGTGTGGTCTCCTGGTTCTTTGTGAGCCAAGTCTTTAAACAGTCTTATTTCATTGTTCTCTATTGACCAGAACATCCTTATTCAAACTTAAGGGGAAAATAAAAATGACTTTAAAGTTTGTGGATCATAAGAACTTCCTGCTTTTCACACAGCTCAAAAGGTGGAGCCCTTACACCACTAGAGGATGGTGGGAGTTAAAGGATGTTTAAATACTGTGGCTAGGCTACTCTGGGCACCTGCTGAGCTGGTTCCCAGGCAACATGAAGGCTTTCCTCACCCTGGGGTTCCTCTTGCTTTCTGTCACTGTCCAGGCCAAGGTTTACAGTCGATGCGAGTTCGCCAGAATTCTGAAAAGACATGGAATGGATGGCTACAGGGGAATCAGTCTGGCAAACTGTAAGTCTCCTCTTCTTGACCCCTCCAGATAAGCACCCCCTGCAGAACAGGTGCAAGGAGCAATGAGTGAGCAGAGAGGGATCTGGACTCTATAAGCATCTAGGATTCCTGTTTATTTGACTTGGTTTGATTAAAAACATCAGCATTTGCCTTCTTCCTCTGAGATACTGGGATGAGGACATGGGAGGGGCATCTGTGCCAGGCTCAGGCAACAGGACCTGAGGTGCTCTTGGAGTGTCAATGGATTTTCCATTTGCTACAGACTCAATAATCTACAGGGGTCTGGGAAAAGGTGGAAGAATCCACTCATTCAGAACTTGAGTTCTGAGGGCCTGAAGTGACTGGTGTCTGTCTTCATTTCTCTTACCATGGCATGGACCTTTTGAGGTTATATTTTTAAGTTTCTTGAACTTCCTATATAAGGCAGAGGGATCCTACTTCCCCCTAGTTCGTGATTAAATGAGGTTCTTTGGACCTGAGAATGAAATGGTCTGGTCTACTTCTTCACTCTGGGATGGCTTTATGTTCTGCACTATGGAAGACAAGGATGAGGAAAAGTTATTCATGGCTGACTCCACCTATGTCATAACTAGTATTCTTTTAGTTTCAATTAAGATGCTTACTGTTCTATAACTAACTGTCTGTGAATGAGTGAACAGGCAGATGTATGTGTGGATAGATGGATGGATGGATGGATGGTTGGATGGATGGATGGATGGATGGATGGATGAAACTGCCAAAGAGCCTTTCTTGTTCTAATGTTTTCCCTATCAATATTCTCATCAGTATTTGTGATGGTGCACACTCCTGGAATCCAAGCAATGGGGCACTAAGGCAGGAGATTGCACGTTCTGTGCTGAAATAGGATACTTAGTGAGACAGAGCAGAAAAATAATTCTAACAATCAAATTCTCCTTGGTTCTGAGAACATATCTGAGGAAATCTTCATTTTTCTCATAGGGACACGTTAATTAGCATGTGTATTTGATATTAGTGTATAAAACCCACTTAACATCTATTTGTGATTTTATTTTAGGCAGAGGTATCTCAAGAATAGATGGGGGAGAGAAAAGCAATGGGAAAATAGCTATTTTAATTTGGGGAGTACAAGGCATGGTTTCACTGTATAGCACTGACTGGTCTGGAACTTGTTATGTAGACCTGGTTGTTTTCAAACTCACACAGGTTCAGCAGCCTCTGCCTCCCAGCTGCTGGGATTAAAATGAGCGTGATTATGAGCATCTTACCTATTTGGATACTTTAAAAGGACCTAATCCTGTTTATTCTCAATGCAAACAGATTGGTTCTCCAAGAGATTCTCTTTGGGACACATGAAAATCACTTGCTGACTAGACACATCAGTTCCCCCTACTTGAAAGGCAGAGGCAGGAAGATTAATTGAGACCAGAGACTAACCAGAGTAACAAACCATACCTGGCCTGACATAGATATAATTTAATCATATGGTTGTATTCATAAAGTAAATCACTTGTAAAATACAGCAAGATCAAACAGCTAATTTTGTATCCAGTATATATCATTTTCTGTTGTTGCTTATTGATGAATATTCTTTTTATTTTCAGGGGTGTGTTTGGCTCAGCATGAGAGTGGCTTTAACACAAAAGCTACAAACTACAACCCTGGACCCAGAAGCACAGACTATGGGATATTTCAGATCAATAGCAAATACTGGTGTAATAATGGCAAAACCCCAGGAGCAGTGAATGCCTGTGGGATACCCTGCAGCGGTAAGACAAGGCGGGTTTAGAGGGACAGCAAACAACCCACCTGCTCTTATGTGCAAGAGCAGAGATTCTGTGCAGGAGACATAACACTGAAGGAAGCATCAGGACCCTGGGGAGACTGTGTTGACTGTTAGAAAGTCATTGTTAATCACATCAAAATTAGCCAAGGAAGACATTAGGCTCAAGGCATAGTCTAGTGATGCCCTGCCTGCTAATCAGAGAGCCCTTTGTTCTACCTCCAAAATTCACTCAATGAATAAACAATATAAACAGAGCCTGGGAAGATAGCTCAGACAGAACATCCCCTAAGCCAAGATTTGACCCTCAACACCTACATAAAAGCTGAGTTTGGTGGCATGCATTTGTAAAACCTGCACTGGGGAGTCTGACACAGGCAGATCCATGGGACTAGCTGGTCAACCAGCAAAGCCTAATCTGTAAGCCAGTTCCAATGGAAGACCCTGTCTCAGAAACAATGTGGACTAATTCTAGCTCTTGGGACTTTCTTCTGACTTCTACATACACAAACACACATGTACAGGTTCCCTCACCCCCACCCCCCATCCACTCCTCAAAAAGGGTAATGCCTCCCACTGAGGAGTCAATAAGCCTGCCTGGCACATCAAGTTGAGGAAGGACCAATGCCCTCCCCTCTGCATCTAGGCTGAGCAAGACATCCCACCATATGAATAGGCTCCAAAGAGCCAGCTCATGCACCAGGGATCGATCCCTGTCCCACTACCGGGGCCCCACACGCAGACCAAGTCACACAACTGTCACTCACATACAGATGGCCTGCCTAGTTCAGTCCTATTCAGGCTTCACAGTTGTTGGTGAAAAGTCCCTGAGTTCCCATGAACTCGGATCAGCTGTCTCTGTAGGTTTCCTCATGATCTTGACCCCTACCCTTTGCTCATGTGCTCCTTTCTTCCTCTCTTTGACTGAACTCCCAGAGCTCAGCCTGGTGCTTGGCTGTGGATCTTTGCATCTGCTTCTGTCCTTTACCAGATGACGGTTCTATGATGATAGTTAGGGTAGTCAACAATCTGATTACATGGGAAGTCAGTTCAGGCAGTCTCTCCACTCTTGCTAGGAGTCTTAGTTGGGCTCATCCTTGTGGATTCCTGGGATAGATTCAAGAGAGGCTGTTTCCACTAAGCACCAATGTATGGACACTTGGGAAATAATTTCTTGTGTTTACTGCTCAGTGTCACAGAAGAAAGCTGGCTGAATCTAAAGTGAAAATGGGTTTTATAACAGTCCTTGTCATTCTTCACCCCTGTCTTTCAGTGTTGCTCCAGGATGACATCACTCAAGCCATACAATGTGCAAAGAGGGTTGTGAGGGATCCACAAGGCATTAGAGCATGGTATGTTGGAACTTGGGAAGGGGAAACTGTTGGTTGTGTTGATATGTGCAGTGAGTCTTCCTAAGGCCCAAGTGTCTTCTGAGATCTCAGGTTCAGCTGGGGTCTTTCACTGCATCATTAGTTTTAGGGAATTTCTCCAGAGTGTGAGAATCCCCACACACGACTACTTCCTTGTCAGGCCTCCAGACTATTTGTAGAATCAGTCAACCGTTCCATACACGTGATGTCACATTGACATTGAGCATGCTGTGCTCTGCTCAGGGTCTGGAGAGGATCACACAGCCATGCGGACAAAGCTACACCTGTCAGTAGCAGTTTCTGGGTGATGCTACAGCCTGTGTTTCACATTGGATCGTGGCCCAGAACCCAAACTCCATTAGTGTCACTGTTACAGTATTTTCCCTCAAAGGTTTGAGTATGTGTGTGACAGAGAAGACAATTTTAACCATTTCTCTCCTGTCTCACTTTCCTCTTCAGGGTGGCATGGAGAAGCTACTGTCAAAACCGAAATCTCAGCCAGTATGTTCGGGGCTGTAGACTCTAACTGCTGTGCACTTCTGCTTCAGCTCATTCTGTCTCTCTAGTTTTGGAAACAGTTACACATCCTTGAATTCCCCTTCAAACAAGCAGGCCTTAAAAAGAAATAGGGGCAAAATGGATACTGTTTCTAAGAGGCTTCATGCTGACTAATGTCTTCATTGTTCTAAGCAAAACCATCATATTTTGGTTACCCAAGACAGCAGATGCTGGTGACAGTGGTCTAGCACTTTGACGGTCACACGCATTTCCATACATTAGTTCTTCATCTGTGAGGTAATTCACATTCAGTTTCATCAGAGTTAGTCTCCATCTCCCCCTTGTTGGATAGACATACATTAAGCATTTACAGGAGGCAGTAGAGACCCCAGGCCTTGTGTGTGGGCTCAGCCCTCGGGCACTTAGAACGGCCACTGTGTGAGGCAAGGCGGTTTTGGAACTGAGTCTCCTCAACTCAGAGACTTGTTGTCATGAATATGTGACCTTTCAAAAATTATATTCTTAGAGTTGTCCCATTTATGCTTCTTAAAAAGTAAATTCTCACCTCATGTCAAAGTCTGTTTTAACCCTTGATAGAGTGTTCCCATGCCTCTTGCAGATCATGAGGTATTCAGGACAGATTAGTGACGGTGCTAGCCCTTAACTTTCTTCAAGTAGCTTCATGCGTATGAACTGACTCTGAGACAGATGAGCTTGGATCAGCAAAACTAAGTGTATTGTGAAAAACTACAAATACCATTAAATGATTTCAATGCAGTCCTTGTCTTTGTATATTCTCATATGGTGTCCTTGGGGGAAATTGTTTATAGGTTGGGAAAAATCAACATGCACACTTAATAGGGCCTTCATCCTCACCCATACTCAGCAAGAACCGACATCCTCACCTCCATACAGCTAGTACCTATATCCTCACACACATAGAGCTATTGCCTACAACCTCATCTACACATAACTACCTGGATATTTCTGGCATAAAATTCAGAAACAAACTGACCAATGTCCCTTGTCCCTCACAGGCCCTTGACAAAGTGAAACACTTCTCACTCTGGAGTCTGTTCTAGCTCAGCCTCATTCTCCACACACTCCTACTTCTCAAGGCCTTTGCTGGCTCTGTGGAATGCTCTGGGCTGTATCCCTACTGAATTTAAATTTGTTTTTGATGTATTTATTCACTAGATATTCTCTCTCCCTTGAAGCACTTATTCACCACTAGCCATGATCTGAAAATATCAAATGAAATACGCTGCAATCAAACAATTGGTGCTGTGAGATTTCCGGTCCCACGCATGTCTCCATTGTTCTGCTCTGTTCTTCCCAGTACATGAGTCCTAACCTTCTCCAGAGTATCCACTGTGTACACCACACACTTCCTTGAGACTTAGGGTCAAGTCAGGCATCAGTCTCACCTTGGCAGTGTCTGAGTGATCCTGTGACAGTATTTCTTATTTTTGTTTTCAGAATTTAATAACAATCCTGTCTTTTACCAATTGCTAATCTCTTACTGTGCTGGATTCATGAATTAAACACTCTGGAGGAAAACATATGGAGAATGGCCTAATTAATGCATGTGGGATTGGGTGAACTAGTGGTGGTTTCCACCCCCTAATGTAACCATTAGACCTACACAAAGAGAGTCTTGCACATGATTTGCTAACCAAGAATGCAATCAGCAGTGCTGCTCTATTCTGACTCACAGCACTTGCTGGTGAACTCTGCTTTCCTCTGAGCAGTGAGGCAATAGTAGTCTTTTAAAACCACCAGCAGTTCCTCCATCTAAGAGCTCCCCAGGGTCTTAAGAACTCCACAGTCAGAAACCAGGGAAGGGTGTAGTGTGTGGCCATTGTTCAATGTTGCTCTTGCTGGCAGTAGGTTTTATGTTTTGTTTTGTTTTGGGTATTTTCTTTTATTTTAGAGGCACTCATATTTACATATCCATCCCCCCATTCACTCGCCCTCCATCCTCCCATGTTTCCCCCCAAGCCCATAACCCATCCCCCAACTCCTCCTCAGGGATAGTGAGGTCCTCCATGGGGGACCTTTAAAGTCTGTCATATCTTTTGGGGGAGGGCCTAGGCCCTTCTTGCTGTATCTGGGCTGCAGTAGTATCCCTCCATAGGGAATGGGCTCCCAAAGTCCATTTGTGTTCTAGGGATAAAGACTGGCTCTGCTGTTAGAGGTCCCATAGACTGTCTTGACCTCCTAGCTGACACCCACATTCAGAGGGCTTGGTTTGGTCCAGTGCTGTTTCCGCAGCTTTATGACTAGGGTCTCCATGCTCTCATTGGGTCAGGTCAACTGTTTCTGCAGGTCTTTCCAGCACCATCTTGGCTCCTTTGCTCATCCCTCCTCCCTCTCAACAACTGAATTCCAGTAGTATGGTTCAGTGCTTAGCTGTGAGTGCCTGTTTCTGCTTCAAACAGCTACTGGATGAAGGCTCTAGGAATGGTAACCAGGGTAGGCATGAATCTCATTATAGGAGCATCAATGGCATTCTCTCCACAACTGCCTGGCTTCTTAGTTGGGGTCATCCCTGTGGATTCCCTAACATTTCCCCTGTGCCAGACCTCTCTCCAAACCTGTACTGTCTCCCTCTATCAAGGCATCTCCTTTCTTGCCCTCCTCTATTCCTCCCCTGTCTCAGTCCTCTTGTTCTTCCCCCACCCCTTCTTCCCTTTCTACCTCCTTCCTCCCCCCAGTGCTCCCACTTTGCTCGGGAATTCTTGCCCCCTCCCCTTCTTCGAGGGACTATGTAATCTTCTCTTGGGGTCCTTCTTGTTTCCTAGCTCCTCTGGCAGTGTGAATTGTAGATTGGTAATCCTTTGCTCTATGTCTAAAATCCACATTTGAGTGAGTACATAGCATGTTTGTCTTTTTGTGACTGGCTTACTTCACTCAGGATGTTTTTTTATAGTTCCATCCATTTGCCTGTGAATTTCAAGATTCCATTTTTTTCCCCTGAATAGTACTCCATTGTGTAAATGTACCACATTTTCTCTATCCATTCTTCAGTTGAGGGACATCTAGGTTGCTTCCAGGTTCTGGCTATTACAAATAATGCTGCTATGAACATAGTTGAACATATGTCCTTGTTGTATGAATGTGCATTCTTTGGGTATATTCCCACCAGAGGAATTGCTAGATCTTGAGACAGACTAATTCCCATTTTCCTGAGAAACTGCCATACTGATTTCCAAAGTGGTGTATAAATTTGCACTCCCACCAGCAATGGAGGAGTGTTCCTCTTTCTCCCCATCCTCTCCAGCATAGACTGTCATTGGTGTTATTGATTTTAACCATTCTGACAGGAGTAAGACGGTATCTCAGAGTTGTATTGAGTTGCATTTCCCTGATGGCTAAGGATGTTGAGCACTTTCTTAAGTGTCTTTCAGCCATTTTAGATTCCTCTATTAAGAATTCTCTATTTAGTTCTGCACTCCACTTTTTAATTGTATTTTTGGTGTTTTGATGGCTAGATTATTGAGTTCATTGTATATTTTGGTGATCAGCCCTCTGTCAGTTGTGGAGTTGGTGAATATATTTTCCCATTCTGTGGGCTGTCATTTTGTCTTGCTGACTGTGTCCTTTGCCTTACAGAAGCTTCTCAGTTTCAGGAGGTCCCATTTATTAATTGTCGATCTCAATGGTTGTACTACTGGTGTTATGTTTAGGAAGCGGTTTCTTGTACCAATTCAATAGAGGGTACCACCTACCTTCTCTTCTAGGAGATTCAGTGTGGCTGAATTTATGTTGAGGTCTTTGATCTATTTGGACTTAAGTTTTGTGCATGGTGATAGGTGTGGATCTATCTGCAATCTTCTACATGTCCTAATCCAGTTATGCCAACACCATTTGTTAAAGGTGCTTTCTTTTTTCCATTGTATAACTTTAGCTTCTTTGTCAAAAATCAGGGGTTAGTAGGTGTGAGGGTAATATCAGGGTTTTCAACTTGATTCCATTGGTCTATCTGTCTTCCTTTGTGCCAATACCAAGTTGTTTTCAGGACTATGGCTCTATAATAGAGCTTGAAGTCAGGGATGTTGATGCCTCTGGAAGTTCCTTTATTGTACAGGGTTGTTTTGGCTATCCTGGGTTTTTTGTTTTTCCATATGAAGTTGAGTACTGTTCTTTCAAGGTCTGTGAAGAATTGTGTTGGGATTTTGATGGGAATTGCATTGAATCTCTAGATTGCTTTTGGCAAGATTGCCATTTTTACTATGTTGATTCTACCTATTCAAGAGCATGAGAGATCTTTCCATTTTCTGGTATCTTCTTTAATTTCTTTCTTTAAAGACTCAAAGTTCTTACTCTACAGGTCTTTCTCATTTTTTTTTTGTTAGCGTTACCCCAAGATATTTTATGTTGTTAGTTGTTATTGTGAAGGGTGATGTTTCTCTGTCTTCTTTCTCAGTGCATTTATCATCTGTATATAGTAGAGCTACTGTTTTTTTTTAGTTACTCTTGCATCCTACCACTTTTCTGAAGGTGTTTATCAGCTGTAGGAGTTCCCTGGTAGAGTTTTTCAGGTTACTTATGTAAACTATCATATCATCTGTAAATAGTGAAAGTTTGACTTCTTCCTTTCCAATTTGTATTCCCTTGATCTCCTTTTGTTGTCTTATTGCTCTACAACTTCAAGGACAATATTGAAGAGATATGGAGAGAGTGGGCAGCCTCGTCTTGTTCATGATTTTAGAGGAGTCACGTTGAGTTTCTCTCCATTTAGTTTGATGTTGGCTGTTGGTTTGCTGTATATTGCTTTTATCATGTTTAGGTATGTTCCTTTTATTCCTGTTCTCTCCAAGACTTTTATCATGAAGGAATGTTGGATTTTGTCAAAGGCTTTTTCAGCATCTAGTGAGATGATCATGTGGTTTTTGGTAATTGTAGCTTCATAAAAAGAGCTTGCCAATGTCCATTCTGCTGCTATTGTGTGGAACAATTTGAGGAGTACTTGTACTAGCTCTTGTTTAAATTTCTGGTAGAATTCTGCACTGAAGCCATCTGGCC